AGAAACATGGCATTGTAAATACATATTTTGCCATTATCATCTTTTAAAGAATTGACTTTAAAATGTTTATGCTAAAATTTCACTTTTGAAAAACTGATAGCATTCAGCATTCTCTTACACAAGGACTGCAGCTACAACATCCACAACTAACACAGGGCATACCTTTGGGTAAAGAGCTGTCTACAGAGAAGTAGGTGGGATGTAGGCAAATGACACCTTTGGGAAATACAATAGAGATTGATACAGACTGTCTGGAAGTCATGCTAATGGTACAGTTTGTTCTTTAAGATCTATATAAAAAGGCAGTATAACTTCCTGCATTCTTTTCTTTTGTCTTAGGATATGTAGACAGGCTCATCACTGAATTTTGTGACAAAAGCTGTTTTTCCTGTTCCATTGCAGGAGAATCAAACTAGGTGACCTTTAAGGGTCCCTTCCAGTTCAAACAGTTCTGTGATTCCTTGCTTATTAAAGTGCTTGAAATACCACATCTGCAATAAAAAATACCACTTATTTTACCAATTATATGCAACTATAGGAGAAATATCTAGGTATTTGGGTTGGTTATGCACTGCCATGTGATTCAAAAGGGCCAAGAAACGAAAGAGCAAGAAGAAATAACACCAGAAATATTTAAAAATTAAGGCTGGAAAAGACCACTAAGAGCATCCAGTTCAACCATCCTAATATCATGCTGCTCATTTTAGTGGTCTTCCATAGTCTGTCTGCTTTGTAATAGGTACATTACGTTAGTTTGTCTTGGTTTAAAAAAAAAAAAAATACACCTTTCTAATTCTCTTCTTCCACAAGATTGACATTAGGATCTGAGTAATGGAATTTTATAATAGCTGGTTAATTTAGCTCCCTTCAAGGTGTTAACCTAGTGGAAGTCTCTTATACATTGAATTTTATTTTTTGCTTTTTGAAAATTTGCTGTAGCTGAGGTGCAAAGAAAATTCAGGTTTCCTGAGCTTGTGGTCCATGAATATCAGTCTGAGGCCACTTGCTTGATCTGCACACAACAGCACAAAAACTAACATACAAAGAAAATGAGGTTTTGAGTGCTGGCAGAGTTAAAACATTTAATGCAGGCAGGAACAACCCTAAGTCTGCTCTTCTGACAAAATGAAATTTTGAAGTACACCGAAGATGTTTGGGAAGATCAAGACATATTCCCTTACCTATCTGTCCTTGGCATTTACATGCAGTATAAATCACTATAGTATGAGAATGCTGCACAACCTCAATCTTTATATAACATCCATAGAATCACAGAATCATAGAATGGCCTGGGTTGAAAATGACCTCAAAGATCATCTAGTTTCAAGCCCCCTGCTATGTGCAGGGTCGTCAACCACAAGACCAGGCAGCCCAGAGCCTTGAATGGCTCCAGGGATGGGGCATCCACAACCTCCTTGGGCAACCTGTTCCAATGTGTCACCACCCTCTGTGTGAAAAACTTCTCCTAATATTTAACCTAAACCTCCCCTGTTTCAGTTTAAAACCATTCCCCCTTGTCCTATCACTATCCACCCATGTAAACAGTCGTTCTCCCTCCTATTTGTATGTTCCTTTCAAGTACTGGATGGCCACAACAAGGTCTCCCCGGAGCCTTCTTTTCTCCAAGCTAAACAAGCCCAATTCCCTCAACCTTTCTTCATAGGAGAGGTGTTCCAGCCCTCTGATCATCTTAGTGGTCCTCCTCTGGACCCGTTCCAAGAGCTCTGTGATCAATCATAAACTCCTCAGTGATTTCAGGCACAGACAACAATTTTTGCTTCACTCCCTTGGACTGTTTGAGAATTAAAGCACAGTAGATGGTTTTAGGATTGTTTAATATGTGCACGTTTCTCCAAATTCTTACATTGCAGAACTTCCTAAGGTTCAGTGAGCATTTTGCTGCTTTTCTTAGCCAACTGGTTAATTTAAGACATTTTACATAATCTGCCCTTTTCTTCAAATGCCAGTGAGTAAAGTTTTGTCCTCATTATATCTGCTTCATGTGATTTTTGCTGGAACGTCCTAATGAGGAATTCATATTACACTGCCCAAGATGTTTCTCTTTGCTATACCCACCTGATATTTGGCATGCTCTGTCTCGCTGTCTTATGACAAGGTTTTGAAAAGCAAAAAGGTGCTAAGGAAAGCCTTTAAAGTGTATTTCCCTTTATTAAAGAGAAATATCAAGTAGTATAGAGTGCTTTCCAGCTCTAAGTCAGGCATCAAGCCTTTTATCAGTTAAAGACTTCGGGAAAAACACTCAAAATCTTCTTATTGCTGTTTTAAATTAAAGCATGTTTTCTTATTATCTATATCTAGGTTCTACTCTGTTACAAGTTATAAGTAAATAAACAAATAAATAAATACACTTCTGGTTGGAAAAAGTGATTTAGTGGTTTTCCTGAGTCTTCTACCTGTTCAGTCCTCTGAGAGAGATGAAAACCTGATCCTTCACAGCACTCTTTGTGACTTTTGTACCATGCTTTCTGCCAAGCTTTTCTCAGAGTGAGAATGATCCCTCTCTGATGTCTGCCATGTATTACCTACTGTCAGCTAGTAACAGTGGCCTTCGACAAAGCCTCATATATTTCCCAGGAGGAAAATCATAATGTTATTCTCATTTTACTATATATTCTTCAGATCTGTGTGTTCTCCAGTACAGAGGAAAAGCTCTAAAGATTGCAATTAATACAACTTCTACAATAAAAATATTTTTCAAATAATAATAAAGCTTTACAAACAAAAAGAAAAGAAAACATCCAGGGAAAGAAACAAATAGAACATCCTTAAGATCTTTTTTTAAAGATCTCACACACTTACTAAGGATATTTGCCCAACAAAGGTAGATATGTACAATGGTGGTAACATAAACTGACTGTCAAGCACGTATAAGGGAACATGAACCTTTTAATAAAGGCTAAAAAACTTGTGTGAAGGATAATCTGATAATCAGATTCCCACAGTGTTCCAAGGAGCATGTGGCTCATTTTGCTGGCATATAGATAGACTATTTGCATCGTCTTTGTTCCACAGCCTTAGCCACTGTTTTTAAGAAAATTGAGAATATTAAAATGTTACATTTATTTCTTCTTTACCTGGTGCCTAAAAAATTCAGCAGTATTTCAGCCATTTTCTTCCTTGAATTTCAAGTACTTAAACACTTTTGACAAATTAGGGAAATAACAACTGCCTTTATTTCTTTTCTTACAGTAAAACAAAACCTCCTGTTGTCCTCCCATACTGTCTGTTAAGGTAAGTGATCTATCAGTGAAAGCTGCTTCTCTGTGCTTGTGGCATTCCACTAATGAGAGCCTTTAAGACTAGGTGCTTTAGGATGGCCTTGGGATAAGGATGCCAATGCCTCCATTTTGTTCTGGATTGAACCAGAGGAGGAGCAGCAGAAGCTGAGGATGAAGGGAACAAGGAAAGATGCAGTGCTGTGGCACTGACAAGTGAAGGAGAAAAAAACATAGGAGGGTTACTGCCAGGAAGAACTTATTTCGTTTCCTTGTAGAAAGATAAACCCAGAGACACAGTAGAGTTTAAATGATGTAAGTTCCTGTTATATTATTACATTGTCTTCATTTCTGTTATGGCAAGCATAGGAAGCTGGGCCATTATAGCATCTTCATACACACTGTCTCACTGTAGGCAGCTAAGGAAAGCAGTACTGACTTACTGCATGCTCACTGCTTGTAAGGGGGACCACAGCCCATGCCATGATGGTTGCCTGATGTCTTCACAACCCCTCAGCTAGAGAAATAAGCAACCTCCTTGACTACAGTGTTGTGATTTAAGCCAGCGGGTGGCTGAGCACCATGTGGTCGTTTGCTCCCTCCCCCCATTTCTTAATGGGATGGGGGAGAGAATAGGGAAAAAAAGCAGAACTTGTGGGTTGAGATAAAACTATTTACTAAGATAGAGAAAATGAAAAGGTGAATAATCATGATAAATAATTACATATATATATATATATGAATGTCTACAACAAATGATGCCAAGCTACTGCTCATCACCCCCCCAAACTATGCCCAGTTCACTCCCTGAGCAATGGAAGAGAGCAAGGTGAACTCTCACCCCTTTCAAAACTCCTTCCATCAGCTGTCTAATTCTGTTCCTTCCCAGATCCTTGGGCCCTTCACTGAGAATTGCTTTGGTACTGCACAACATTGCATAGCTGCAACTATAAATACTGGTGTGTTATCAGCATTGTTTTTCTCCTAGATCCGAACTACAGCATCATACCAGACACTCTAAAGAAAGCAAGTCCATCCCAGCTGCAACTAAGACACACAGACAGAGTTCAATTTAAAAACCACTACCTTGATAATACCATCCTGATTAGCAGTAACTAGGAGATCTGTAGTGAATAACTGCAGATGGACAGAAAGTAAATAAAAAGGAAAAGCATTCTCTTCTTCAATCACTATACATAAGGAAAAAAACAGCTTTAGAGAGAATGCAGTGGTATAATATTTGATCTGCTGAAAGCAATAAGCAATGTTGCCAACCTGTTGTCTTGCTTAGCCCAGTCATAATGAAGACATCAAAATTGCCCAAGAGATGACATCAGCACCATTCCCAAACCAGCACCAGATGGGATGTCTTTTTCTGCCCTTTGTTATTCATGAGTGCTTTGGTTACTTTTTTCCCAGCTCAACATCTGGTCAAGTACTCGTCTCAGGTAATGAGTCAGTGAAGAGGGGTAAAAAATGGAGAAACTGATATTTAATCCTGGAGGATTAAATCCTGGAGGCCATAGCCTCATTTCCTTATTAACATGAGAGGAAAGCATAGAAAATTTGCTCTGCAAATCACATACATCAGAACTTAGATATTTCTAAAGAGTTTAGAAACAGTGCAGCTGAACAGCTTAGAGCAGAGTGACAGTCTAGCTTTCCTAAAGAAGCCTTCTTCTTAGACTTTAAAATCACCCTGATGGCTTTTTCCATTCTCAGGTGCAGGGAGTAGCACTTTGAGTGTAAGAAGGGGACACTTACTCTGTATTGTGTGTATCAATCATGTGAAAAAGTTCATGCAGTTCTTCTCCACTCAGAACTCCATCAGCAAAGTAAGCTTTGAATTCATCAAAGGACAGTTTTCCATCATCTGAAAAAAGAAAATAAGAAGAAAGTGTCAGCTTTGTTTATGGTTCTGCTCATTTAGTCCATGCGACAAAGGAGGAAGCTATTAAAAAAAAACACCAACCACTACCTCTTCATAGTAAATGTAGAAACTTTATATTCAAGACATGTAAATAATATGATGTAAAATGCATCAGCTCTTGTACAAGAATTCTCAGTTAGGCTGACAGCTCTGTTAATCTTCCTCCTCATCTTTCAAAAAAGATAGTTTGGATTTGTAAGTCTCTACTGCCAAACACATCAAGACAATCTTCTTGTCCTTGCCTTGATCCCATTCACTGTGTCTTCTTCCCATCCTCCCCACCCTTCCTCCTGCTTGGTCCATGTCCATGTCTTCACCTCTGCATGGAATATCAGTGGCCTCTTGGGGCAAAGAAACCTCGGGAAACTACAAACCCAATAATTTCTTGAAGGAACATGTAGGTTCAGTGAAGATTACTCCAGCTATTTATACTTATCTATTTATTTTCCTTTTCTACTGCTTCCTGCCTCTTAAAAAGGAGAATGAAAGGGAGTGCACAATTGGATAGCAGTAGGGTCTCCTGTGTGGCTAGCAATGTTAATCAATACACTGCACTGGTCTGCAGCATTTTGATTTTCAAAAAAAAAAAAAAAAAAAAAAAAGAAGCCCCAAGCTTGGTATAGAACTAACAAAAGAAAAAAGAAATGTTTGACTTTTATGGAGTAAAAAAATTCTTTACTATGAGAGTGGTATGAGAGTGGTGAAAAAGCTGCCCAGAGAGGCTGTGGATGCCCAGTCCCTGAAACTGTTCAAGGCCACATTGCATGGGGTCCTGGGCAGCATGGTCTAGCATTAAATGGGGAGGTTGGTGGCCCTGCCTGTGGCAGGGGGTTGGAGATTCACGATCCTTGAGGTCCCTTCCAACCCGGGCCATTCTATGATTCTGTGATTCTGTGAGTAAGAAGCCAGCTTCATGTCCTCTTCCAATGGAAAGAATTTCAATTCATCTTCTTGGTCAGTATAGAAAATAATAAGTTTTATATTTGACAGCGTGTGACTAGTCTGGAGATGACACCAAAAATACGCAATGAGAAAACTGTTTTGAGCATATATCAGAGGTCAGCCGAATATTAAGGCAGTATTCAAATTGATCATGTAACATATAGTGGAGCCCAGCTATAAAAAAATTTGACTTTATATTGTCTAAGTACCTACTACTACCATTTGTTTGGAACAAGAACAATCATAACCACATGGATCTCGATCACCACCAATATGATCTTGTCAATCCTGATCATCGATACATCTCCCTGTAATTAGGAGGTGTCCTCAGGGCTGATGAAACTGGAAGCAAGGAGAAGTCTCATATGATTAAATTTAGAAGGACAGTAATAGCATGTACACTGATTGAAGAGGAAAGAGTCCTTGTTACAACTTCTACTGCATTATTTAGCAGGTCATTTTCTTGATTTCACTTTAATTATAGCAAGCCTTTGTCTACGTGAGACAAAATCACTGAGATGTATTAGGAAGTGGTTAATTGGTGTTTTCAGGATGTTAGCACTTTAGATTGAGGCTCTTCCCTCCTTTTGTCAAACTGTGCACAATCCTGACTAATTTCTAAAGGATTTCTAATTTCTAAATGAATACTACACTATTTTGCTGAAGTAGGGATGGTATTTCTACTTCCTTACATCTAAACTACATCTACTTCCTTACGTCTAAAAAATCCTACTGATTCTGCTAAGCTGCAGATACTAAGCTACAGATAATAAACAGATTTTCCTATTCTTTTAATTAATAGAATCAGAAATTGATAAAATGTGTCATAGTTTGGATAGCTTGTCCCACCCATAGGATGGCCATGACTGCATTGACTGAAGCAGCAGAATCAGGCAATCATTTATTCTTGTAAGTAAGACTCTTGGATGCAGGGATCATTGGAGTCTATTAACTTGGCCTCTAATTAGACAGCATGATTACTTTTTTCTTGAGAATATGATTCAAGGCTGAGGAGAGGGAATTAATTAAATGAAAAAAATGAAAATTCTGACTTCTGAAAAGGACTGAAGTCCAACATAGCCTATCACTCATAGGACACAAAACAACTGTAGAGCAAAAGACTGAGATGCCCTTAACACCCAACAAGTTTACAATACTGCAGCCTAATTTTACAGCAGTGAAGCATCCATTACAAAGGCAGTGTCTGAATCCTAACTATGAGCTCTGCAGTAGCATGCTCACTTGAAGAGCAGAGCTAGGGAATATCTTCAATCTCTTACTTGCTCTTATTTCATAATTTCTTTGATTTGTATATATGACTTCAAATGTGCTGTCTTCAAGAGGATTCAAAACTGGACAAATTGAGTGTCTGTTTCAACAAAAACATTTTGAAAGTTTCCACTTGAAAAGACAGACTGTAGCTGGCAATAATCATCATTATGATTAAAATGAAAAGGCAAGATCTATAAGAAATCTAAGTCAAGATGGCACAAGTGTGTTGAAGTGGTGAAGATAGGCAACTCCCTTTGACAGAACTGCCATGATTACCTAATTGAGAATCTAAATACATCTGCCATTTGGCACTGGTTGCAGAGTACAAATACCAACAAGCTGCTTTTCACAGCTATGCTTTCTTTGGCTTATGCTGACAAAATTTATCATTTAATTAAATTGCCTCTGCAACTTTAGCCTCTGCTGCGCAGGGGATTCGTGTGAGCTACACACACACACAAGGAAGCAGTGATTTTTGGCAACTTTCCTGTATTAAGCATATGTGTTTACACACAGAGCAGCCTGGCTGTGACACAGAACCTGAAACATCTGCCTATTTATCTTTGTTCTTGAGGATCATTGGTTTTACATCAATCCACAAAATCAATGAACTGCCAACTGCCAGATTGGGCACATCAGCTGTTTGCTTTGTATTTCATTATCCAACAGCAGAGGCTGCCTTTTGATTCATGACTGTTATTTTCAGTAACAGTTTTAAAAGCCAGTCTGATACTTCAGTAAGGTTGTTGCTGGCAAAAGATAAGGAGCATTGAACATATTTGGTTACTTACAGACTTCATGCAGCTACACTTACTGAAACAACAACTTGATTATTTGAGGCATTTCTCTCACTTGGTATAAGTGTAACAGTTTGCTACTGTAAGTGGGAGCCAGGGTAGATCTGTTCCTCTTGAGTAAGATGAAGTTCAGGCCCAATCCCTAGCAAGTGTTCCTTTTACTGTTTAATTGAAGACTTCTGCCTAGCCAACTGCTTTCCCAGCTTCCAGCATGAGCCTTAATTTAAAAGACTGCATCACATATCCTCAGTCCTCCCTCCCTGGAGGCATGGTTCACTGCCCACAGAGCTTCCAGATAAATACTGTCTGGTTTAAGAGCTCCAAAGCAGCAGAGCTGAACCGTCTGTTACAGATACTTCAGTCTTTGCCACTGGCAAAGTGACAGGGGATGGGTGATTCATGAAAGATAAACTTTTCCGAAGGCACATCCCTTGGACAAACCAGACAAATCCTTCAGCCTTCAGCAGTGTTTGCCTTGGCAACATTATCTCACAGGAGCTGTTTTGCAAGCCTTGCTTGCTCTTGCATATTTGTGAAGTTTCTTCAAAAACGAGCATAGTTCCCCAACCTCCTTGGAGCCCAAAGGTTCCTGACTGGCAGTATAAACAATAAAATGTATCTCCCTATGTAGCTCCAAGAGTAAAGCCTTCTATTTTATGATGTTGACTCCGACATCAAGAGGGGGATGTTGGCAGATGTTCCTACCAATAGAAGCATAGAATCATCAAAGTTGGAAAAGACCTCCAAGATCATCCAGTCCAACCATCCACCTACCACCAATATTTCCCCACAAAACCATGTCCTTTAGTACAACATCTAAATGTTTCTCGAACACCTTCAAGGAATGCGACTCCACCACCTCCCTGGGCAGCCAGGAGACATTGAGAATTGTCTATCTTGTCTAATTGATTTCAAAGGACTACAGTGTATCTGACAAAAGAAAGCCTCATTTGTACTCTCTTTCTGAGTTGAAAGATAACCCCAGTGAGCAAAACAAAATAATAATTAAAAAACAAACAAAAAAAAAAAAAAAAACCAAACCAAAACAAAACAGAACAAGGTACCTTTGATGTATTTGGATTCTCCATTCCCAAAGACAATGGCAAATGATGAGTTTGAAGCCCACAGAGGTTACAGTGATCAGGGGAGCAGTGTACCTTGCAGAGGTGATGGCAAAGGCCTGAAGGCAACCAAACAGTTCCCATTGTCACCTATTTTTCACTTCTGGGTAGGACTGTGAGCCCTTCCCAGCAGATACTGCCTTTGTTCATTCAGCATAGGCCTCCAGCAGCAAAAGTAATCTACAGGCTTCACAGACGAGCTTCCAGCCAATGTTTCCATAGCAGGAGCAGTATCAGATGGCTCATATAGCTTACTGCAATCAGAAGAGCTGAAGGAAGGAAAACTAAAACTGATCCCAGGATTCAACCTGATGAGATGGGAATTTAAAAGCACAGACAATAGAACTGTGCCAGCCCAACCAGACTGCAAGTCCATAACTACTGGATGGATGAGATGCTAGAATCAGAGCACTTGAGTGCTAAAAGATACTGGCATTTCTCAGCGATATACACAGAGGAAGCAGGAAAGGGGTGAAGATAGAATCAGATTCAAAGACTTGAAAAAACTTAATTTGTTGCCCTATGGCACCTAGACTGGAATGAGACAAAGGAAGTGCTGGTAAAATAATAAATTTCAGAGGTTATGGTGATCAGGGGAGCAGTGTACCTTGCAGAGATAATGGCAAAGGCCTGAAGGCAACCAAACAGTTCCCACTGTCCCCTATTTTTCACTTCTGGCTAGCAATATCCTCCAGATTTCAGACATAAGAGGATGTGTAAGAAAAAGTACTAAATCTGAAGCTTTAAAGATTCTGGGCTTTCACTGACTCTGATCTGCATCAAGTGTTGATATAACCAGATATAATGATTTCGAGCCATATCAGGTAGATTCAATCAATAGAATCTAGTGCAGGAGAAGCACATGTAACTGTGTGGTTCCAGCAGAGTAGGATAAATAGGAAGAAGGCTGGAATCTAAAAGTCGGCCCTTTTTTTTTTTTTTTTTTTTTTTTTTTTTAAAATAGAAATAGTAAAATTTGGAATCTTAAAATCCACTGGAATGGAACTTATGAAATGTGAAAGAATATAAATATGTGAAAATGTGAAAAAATACAAATATTAAGTGATGCTTAATATCTGTTTATGATTACCTGTTGTCTACTGATTATGCCAAACCCTGTTTGTTTTCACTGCAGCATGACTTTTTACGCAGGTAGTGATAAGGGGGAATGGCTTTAAACTAAAAGAAGGGAGATTTAGATTAGATGTCAAGGGGAAATTTTTCACTGAGAGAGTGGTGAGATGCTGGCACAGGCTGCCCAGAGAGCTATGGATGCCTCATCCCTGATGTGTTCAAGGTCAGGTTGTTTGGAGCCCTGGGCAGCCTCCTTTGGTGGGTGGCAGCCCTACTCCTGGCAGTGGGGTTGGACCCACTCATGGACACTGGAATGCAGGGCCCAGCCCCACAGCATCTGAGGGTTTTGGGGAGGTGGGGTGGGGAATCCAGAATTCAGAAAGTCTCTGCTTCTATAGAAATCATTACCATCAGTGTTTTCAAATCTCTCTCTCTTAGGAGCTTCAGAGATGTTCAGAGACAAAGCTTGTGCTCAGTGTTTTTTTCATAACAGTTGACTGGTATTTCCAAATCAATGACAGCATCTGCATACAAACCACCTTTTCAAATCAGTTGTATTAGAACAGTTTTACTTAACTCCTGCTTGGGTTTGATCCCAGGGTTAGGGGGGAACAAGCCCATAATCAAGCACAGGTTCTTAACTTGTGAGACTCAGTAGCCAGGCAAGCATGCTGCTGTGCTTGTAGCTATTTGTTTCCACCTCCATACGGGAATAGACCTGAAGCAGCCATGCTCCCCTCAAGAAAAATCCAGAGATGATAAAGCAGAAAGACTTTGACAAAAGAACTGCTATGCTTGCAAGATGAGGAGCTGTGCCTTCAGTAGATTATCTCCAGTTTGCATATCTTACTTCTCCCCTGCTAAGTGGGGAGGAGATTTTACTTTTTGTGAGGAATTTCATGAGTTTGATGTTGTTGTAAGTAGCAAAAGAAATGAAATAAATGAAGAACTTTCAGTTGGGAATTTTCAAAATAAGTTCTGTGTCAAATACTTTGAACACAGGGATTTTTGTAAAGTAAACCAGACCAAAACTTCATTTTGACATGCAAAACCAAAACCTCTCCTTTCCAGATAGGTCAGTGTGCAACATCTCACCTTTATGAAATTGCTTTTATTCCTCAGGATTTTCTGTTGCCTTTGTCAATATTATGAATCATATACTTCTTCAAACTGTGATATTCCTTTTCCATGCCAAGTTCCCTCTCTCAGAAAATCATATGATTCTTTTAGTTGCAGGAAAAGCGTTTATCTGATCCATACAGAGTGGAGCTGCTCAGTCATGAAATACAACCTACAGATAGAGTTTATGAAGCTGATCATCCTGTTGAAATTGTAGATATTTCCAGAATTGGAATGGCAACAGAATGATGGCAGAGAAAGAAGCCACCACCACAATATAATTAAAATTTATATGCCTTCTTTTAAATGAGGAGAATGACTTTGATAAAGTAGTTTCTCACTTAAACCCATCTGTCATAAACAACTGTCATGTCTCTGAGTAACAGAAATTCAGCAGGATTTCTCAGCTCTGTAGCTCTTAAACAGTCCTTCCTTTGCTTAAGGCAAGCCTTAAGTCACACAATCCCTAAATTCAGAGTAAGAACACCCTCTCTTATCGTAACCTATTTTTCAGTTTGATCCAACATTTTGATTGCACTGTTTTATGGCTGTCAAACAAGCAGCAAGTAGGGTTTTTATAATTAGTTGCATTGGGGGTATTGTAATCCCATAGAATTATTATGGCAGCTCTGAGAGAAGTGTAGAAGAGCTTAACAGATAGTATCCTGGACAGCAACTTGGTTACTGTAAGCCAACACTCGGTTTCTGTAGCACAGAAAGGTGACTGGAAATGTAATTATCCTATAGAATCATAGAATCATAGAATCACCAAGGTTGGAAAAGACCTAAAAGATCACCCAGTCCAACCGTTCAGCTATTCCCAATAGCTCCCACTAAACCATGTCCCTCAACACAACATCCAGTCTTTCCTTGAACACCCCCAGGCTCGGTGACTCCACCACCTCCCTGGGCAGTCCATTCCAGTGCCTGACCACCCTTTCTGAAAAGTAATACTTCCTCATGTCCAGCCTGAATCTCCCCTGCTGTAGCTTGAAACCATTCCCTCTGGTCCTATCATTATCCTATTCATTAATGAAAGCTAATGATCTGTGTTGACAACAGTGTAAACATATTAGGTATGTCTTCAAATTTCCAGTAACATTTCAGAGCAGTTACTTAATATCATGGCCTTAAAACAAATCTGCTCCTTAATAATTCAGCACTAACATATGCTAGATTAGCAAAGTGGAAGTCCCACAGGCTACAGATGGTTGAGCAAACACAATTAAGCACATATGAAACCACTTCCAGTTTATAGACTTAAATTAATAGAACTGGAGTGCTTGATCTCAATTCCTCCAGTACTATGCTGTAAAGCATCCATGTATAGCTGTGAACTCCAGTGACCAAAGTCTCTAGGGCTCATGTGGCTACTGGAACAAGCAAGTTCGTCACTGATTGTGAGAAGTTTCCTCTGTTCTAATAGAAAAGTGTAAGTAATAAACTGGGGAGTAACTAGAAGGAGGACTGGAAGTCCTCCTCACCATCAAAGTGCTGTGGATCCAACAGGATTGGGACAGAGAATGAATTCAGATGTTGGGACATAGACTTGAAGCCCCAAGGGCTCTTGATGGCCACAGTGGCGTTCAGCAGGAGCTGGCCATGGATGAGTGCTACAGGGCTGACTAGGAGAGGAAATAGAAAATCTGTCACTGAGTAATCATCTGGATAATGCTCAGTCACATTCAGATCTCAAGAGGGACGCTGACTGCTGCTTTGTACCATGCACTCAGTCTCGTACCAATCTTCGGGCAAACATAAGCATCTCCCCAAAAGCTACAAGCAGCCTGCTGGCAATGCTGCAGTTGGTGTGAAGCTAAGCTGGCAAGGCACTGCTGGTGAAGGTCCTCTTTCATCCCTCTCCCAGCATCCCACACATCCCACACGTTGGGATTCAGTTTGATTCATCACTGCACTTGAGAGTCTTTGGTGAGCTGAGGGAGATAACAAAAAATCACTACAAAAAAAACTTACATTGGGCTGGTTTTCTGCCCCTGAGCTCTCTGAATGAGACTGCTGTAGTTTAGTGGGAAATACCAGTTGCTGCACACAAGTTTGGGCAGAAACACACTGCCAGAGGTGGTCCTCCCAGCAACAGCTAATGGCTACCAAATGTTCCCCAGCTATATCATCCAAATGTACAGGAGCTGCTTTAGTGCCCAGCAGGTCTTCCTTGAAAGTTCTCATCTTTCATTGAGAAAATTGGTCATTGTGCCTTCACGTACCAGAGTGAGCTTTATCAAAATTGCACAATATCTGTTTTCTGAGGACAGACTGGGAGTAACCTGCCAGGAGCAAGCACTGAGCTGTGGGTCTGGCACTGCTCAGTGCCAGAAAATGCCAAAGTGCAGCCTGAGCTTTTCTAAGAACCTTAGTTTCCCTACTTCTTATACATTAGCATTACAGTGATAAGTAATTGGGAGCCTGTATTTTCTTCCTGTCTTGTGTGATCTAGCTCTGGTTACCTAATAATGTGTGATAGCATAAGTACTATTATGGTAATTGTAGTATGACTTCATAGTCTCAGAAGTACTCAATCTCACATTGTGGCAGTGACATCATTTTTCTAATAGGAAAGTGGCACAAAATGAAAATATGATTTGACCAAAATTGGACAGCAGTTCAGAGAAGAGAAAAGGAGTTAAAGACAGGTCCAAGACAACGAATGCGTACACCAGCCAAAACTCCTGTGATGAACCTTGTGGCCTTTATGGCCAGGCCCTTCCCCTGCTATAGCCAAAATGTGTGAAGATTTACATGGTCCAACTTCCTGTATTCAAACAGGGGAGCGACATATGTGGAAAGAAGATTTGTCTTTAGCACCAGGGGAAAAATTTCAATCAATAATGTAATAAAAACCTCACTTTTGTGTTATAAATGCACAAGTTGAATTTAAAGTTTTATTCTGCCTACTGACACACAGAACAAACACATAAACACAAACGGAGGGAATGCAAATTTGACTGCTGGATATAGCCTATAGTGTTTTAAAAAAGTAATAAAATGAAGCTAGAACCAAATTGATCAAAACTTTTTGGGAACAGAATGTCATTATGAAAACTCCCACATACACCAGAAGTGCAAATCAAACACACATGCTAAATTGTGAAAGCAAAAGATCTGTTCTTAAGGAATCCACTGGGAGAATCAGTGCACAACAATACACATTGCACAAAACCTGTAGAAAACATAAAATGGCGTGAGAGATGGCTGGTTTTCATATCAAGATGTTTAAAGCACAATTTAAAGGCTGTATCAGTGATGAGTATTTTTCCCAAAGGGAAGAGGGAAACAGGTGACTGGTCTTACCATTCTTGTCTGCTCTTCTCAGTATCTAAATGAAAAAAGAGAGAAAGGAATTACTTTTCTGATACGAGTTCAGAGCATATAAGGCTGTATTTAATGAGCATTCACAGTTGAAGTGCTACATTCACATTCCGGAATGCTGCATAAAAATTGAAAAGCCTTCAGTGTATCTCCATTCTTCTCTTGCAAAATTGCTTTCTTTAACTCCTCCTGTGCTGCATGCACATCAACCAAACCCCTAGGAACCAGCTTTATTTACTAGTTTACATATGGCTTACAGGGATCATATCCAAGCACAAAACCTGATCCCACAAAACTGCTGTGCTTATGGACTTGGGGATGGGAGAAGCCGTATAGAGAAGCAGAATAAGGGCAGTAGGCAGCTGGGATATGCTCTGAACATCTGAGGTGCAGAGAAAGACTCAGGATCTGGGTGTGTGGAGGGAGAAGCAGGAGAGGAGCTGGGGAGCACACAGTGATCAGACTGGAGGTGGCAGGCAGCAGTGTCAGCTGAGTGGGAGCAAATCTCAGGATTCCTCTGATGATAGGAAACAGAGGTGGAAGAAAGGTCTCCTCATGCAAAGGCTGTGGAAGGACCCCAGCGGGTGCCCCCAGTGAAGACCAGTGGAATCTCAGCTGGGGTCTCAGTGCAGGTACCAGCACCACAGCCCACTCCTCGATCAGCAGTTTATGATACGTCCCTGTTCTCAGGGTGAGGTGGTTTTGCTGATTAGCTGCCAATGGCAGGAGTGTGCTCTGCTTATAGTGCTGCAACTACATGAAAAACCTGAGGATTCAGCTGCCACGTTCCGCTGGATCATCCTTGTTGCTGAATTCTGTCATATGGTGTCAGGGCAGAAATGACAAAACAGTGACCAACAACAGGATTTTGTTTATGACCTCTGAGCTGAACTTTCCTCTGGGTCAGTTTACATCATGTGCAATATGAAGGAGGCTTATCAGGATGACACCCTCCCTCCTTGTATTTCCAGATAAATTAGTTTTCTGTATGAGGATTGGACTGTTTGGGGTTTTAAAGTTTATACTCTAAACTGGAAATTTCCTCCTAATGCTGACACAAAACTTTTAGCTAAGAGCAGAGCAAAGGAAAGAGCATTCAAAGAACTGTTGGAATAAAATAAAATCTTTTTCCATGGTTCCTAATGGGTCTTGGATTCCTGGCAGGTTAAAGTGGACTTCTGGGAGACTGTTGTTGGTCTTTCTCCCATGTCATTGCCAAGCACTCTTATTTCCTTTCTTGTCACCTGGAGGAAAAGTCAGCATGCATGTCAGTGTATCTATCAGCCAAAATGGCATAGAATCATGGAATCATTAATGTTGGAAAAACTTCTGAGGTCATCTAGTCCAACCACCCGCCTACTACCAATACTGCCCACTGAAGCATCATGCTCCATAGCTAGTAACTGTATGTATAAAGAGATGGCAAAGAAAGTCACAGAGTTGAATGATTTTGCAGGTTTTTTCAGCTGGAAATTGACAGATTTGTGAAGTCTGAAGACAGCACTGTGAGATCTGAAGTGATGAACTGAGCTTTGTTTTGCCCAATTACAGGCGATTCAAAGGAATGATGGGTGCCCACCACCAGAAGCATATCAAAGGTGCTAGCAGAGCTGAAGTCCTGCTGCTCACCTTGCAGGTTCATTACTAACAGATTAAAATGGCCGTTGTCACAAGCAGCAGAGCCTCATGTGTGGTGCAGCTACAGTAGGGATGCACACTGCACCTGGGGCAAGGCATCTACATCACCAAGAGTGCTGTTTATCCCATCTTGGCTTATAGATGTGTAGGGTTGGGGGCATCAATTGACTAGAGGTGCCCCAAAGATACGGGTCTGCATAAAAATACTTTTTAATGAAAATAACACTACCACCACCATATAAAAATGGTAAAATAGTTTGGATGTATGGTAGGTATTTTGACACAAAAGCAGGGAGGAGGTTGCACTAGAAATCAAGACTGCTGTATTTTCATTATGCATTCAAATGGAAACAGTAACTCGATGAAGAGATTTAAAGAAGTTCTTATGAAGCCTAGAGAAATTATTAGATGAGCAGACATGGTTTTGATTTTGCTTGAAATAATTTGGGCAACAACCTGGGGACGTTAATCATAGAATCATAGACTCTTCTGAATTGAAAGGGAACCTTAAAGGTCATCTAGTCCAACCCCCCTGCAATGAACAGGGACATCTACAGCTAACGTGGTCATATTGGATAAAACATGTAGATAGAGGATCCTGAAAACAAGCTGTAATACACAACATGTCCTTTCTAGCAGATACTGTGGATTAACTCTAAGAGTTGGTCTGAAGTAGATCACAGTTGGTGGTAGTGTTTGAGTGCTATGAAGGTACGTAGATAGGCAGGTATGAAGATTTTCAAGTCTCAAGAAATGCAGAGGATACGTTAGAGATTTTGGGGATGGAGTTTGCCTTTTATGCAGTGCTTGCCTTAGTCCAAAGGAACTCTCGGTGCCAAGCAAGCTTAGACAACAAGTATTGCACCTGCATCTTGAGGGGCTGAGCTGATGGTCCAGCACTGCACCTGGAGGAGCAGGATGGGCACATGCTGGGCTGCTCACTCACCAGGCTTCCCTTTCAGGTCTACTCAGCACCTCAAACCCATCAGGCTCTAGCAGGACACACTGGGAAAAACTCCACAGTTCTGCAGGGTGAGATATTCTATAGTGGAAAGCCCAGAAAAAAATAAAGTAAAAAGCCAAGCAATGCAGCTTGACAAATGATGGCTTTTTCACCCAGTGCCTCTCTGAACCTTCCCTCATTGCTAACCTGCTCTCCTGATACAGACACACTGTTGGCAGCAAACTCACTCTTCAACACAGGAGGAAAAGAGGAAGGAGAAAGCGAAGAGAAAAAGGAAAAGGCAAACGGAAAGGGAAAAGGGAAAAGGAAAAAGGGAAAAGGGAAAGACCCATAGCCTTGCTCAGCTTCATTTCCTTCCACACAGGAGAGGAAATCGTAGCTCCGCAACAAAAAAAGGCAAAGAAAAAAACCCACAGCAATAAATACACCCCCATCCCCAGATGCTTGGGAATGATGCAGGGGGTCCCGGCAAGGCTGCCGCCTACTCACATCGCGGAAGATGCGCAGCCCCGCGCCCAGCTCCGCCGCCATCCGCCCGTCTCAGCCGCCGCCACCGCCCGCAGCAGCGCCGGGACCGCGGAGGGAAACCCGCCGCCCCCCGGCCCCGTCCCGGCCCCGGGGCTGGATGCTTTGCCGGGGGACGGGCCGCAAGCTCCGCCCGCCGGGGGCTGGGTCCTGTGTGCGTCTGTTGGTGCCGAGCGTGAGCTCCCTCCAGTGGGTCTGGCAAATCATTAGAGAGAAAAAGAAAAAAATGCCCCAAAAGAGGCTGGAGGGGAGCTCGAGGGATGCGGTAGACCCTGTGTTGAGAGACGGCACTCTGACATTTCTCTCTGGGTCAGTTTTGGGTTAAGCCTCTTCTGTAGTCTTGGAGTGTGGATAGGTAATGAGGACCAAGCATATTTTTACTTCTCCGTTATGGACGTAATGATAACCAAAAGCAAATGGGCTTGAAAGTAGGATCCTATGTCTGAGAGCGCTGCCCAAACGCTCCCTGAACTCCGGCACTGGGGCCGTGCCCACTGCCCCGTGCAGCCCGTTCCGTGCCCGCCGCCCTCCGCTGCAGCCCCTGTCCCTGACCGCCACCCGCCCCTCCCCTGACGCAGCTCCATGCCGTTCCCTCGGGCCCTGTCGCTGTCACACAGAGCAGAGCTCAGCGCTGCCCCTCCGCTCCCCATGAGAAGCTGCAGCCGCCGTCAGGCCTCTCCCCAGCTCCTCTGCTCTGGGCTGCACAAACACAGGGTCCTCAGCTGCTCCTCGTACATTTTGCCCTCCAGAGCCTTCACCATCTTTGAAGCCCTCTATTGGATGCTCTCTAATGGCTTGATGTCCTACTATTGCGGCACCCAAAGCTGCACCCAGTGCTCAAGGTGAGGCTGCACAGCCGCTGATATATCAAGATCTCTTTACAAGACCTGTTCTCAAAGGATTCAACATTTCCTCCTAATGTAGTGACTTCCACAAACTTACTTTCTGGGGAAGATTTATAATGCGTTCACTACTGACAGTACTTCTGGTGTCTGACTGAGCCTCTTGACCCAGGTGATGCCCTTTAGCTCCTGCTCTTGCTGGCAGATGACATGCAATTATCTACTACACATCATAATCATGATAATGTCATAGGTAATGTGAGAATGAAGGTTTTACTTTAAAACACCTTCCTGTATTAAAAGCCTCTGATACAGTATGGCATGTTCTGTGTGGATTTTCTTGCTTCTTCTACTTTGTTCTCAGATTTTAATAGAGATCAAAGAATTCAGAGAGAGATTTGTCCAAAAGGGAAAACTGGGCATTTTGCAGGGTGAGAAAATTGCATCTTGCTTACTAAAGGTGTCTTGAAAGAGATGGAAAATCATCCCAGGCTATTATTGCTTTTTAATAATACTGAGAGGCTTCCATTTGATCTGCTTCTTGTGACAGAAGTCTGGATTGCTGTTTCTTTCCAGGCAGAGAAAGAAGTCCAAAGGTTGTCTCAAGAGCCAGGACGATGAATTAGAGATATGGAAAAGCTTCTCTAGGTTGTATATGGGCTTGTTTTTGTTAACTGTTGTAACAACAGTAATAATAATGATGCATATTTTACTTGAATTACTATCTTGAAACGAAAACATCTTTTTCTGAAGAACTAATGTATTTCCCATTTGATTGGTCTTAACGGGAATAGTTTATGCCTGTCTAGAGAAATCTTTCTTAAAATTAGTGAGAAATTTTATTGGCAAAAATATACATTTACAGAAATAAAACAAACCACACAGGAATACAAGGAAGTCATATTTCCATCATTAAAAAATATTACTTGCAAAGCACCTTTGCACGACATAGAAATGTGGAAAGAACTATTAAAGTAATGAACATTGTCAGAGACCATTTAGTTTTAAGGTTTAAATGAGCAAATAAATTTGTGAGGGGAGTAGCTGCATAACTTTCTGATGGGACCTTTTTATACCAGTAAACATTTTTTTAGAGTGCCTGAGTTTTAACAGCACAAGGAGGACGAAAACTCTGAATTTCACTGATTTCTGTAATGTATTCAGTGATTCCTCTCTCTCTGAACAAAAGGCAGTGGGGAGGCTATGGGGAGGAGGGCTGTGGGGATAAAGCCATATGAGGACATGGGAGTGCAATTACATGCAGTTATGTTCTGAAATACCCATGGGAGGTTAACAGAAGCTAGTGACCAGTGATCTGGTCACTTCAGCAGCCACAAAGCGGTGCGGCTCATAGTCAGTTAAAAGAAATGGAGCTGTCTGGGATGTGTGTGAGAATAAAGCATAAAGCTGCCTGCTCTTTTTCTTGCCGTGTGTCACATCATTAAACTTGCATTTAGGAACCAGCCTACTGTACCAATGTCTTCACTCCTGTGAAATGAAAGGAAATGATCAGCCAGTACTTAACGATGTTGCCCTTTTATCTGTGAAACAAACAGAAGAAAAACAGCACCGACAGCTGCCCTACACGTACCGTGTAGTGGGCTGTACAACAGAAGCCCTCAGCAATGGGATAAATGAAACAGCTTCCTTTATACGGAGGAAATGTAAGCGTTCTGACTCTCTAATACAGTTACTAAGTCACTTTATGATGGTTAGCCATGTGTGTTGCCTCTAAATGTCAGGAAAATGCTCATGTCAAAGTAGAACATTTCCAATTGAAGACTAGCTTGCACGCTATGGTAGCCCACGGGTCTGTAATGAAAAGTACTCTTTGGCAGAAGAAATGTATCTGCTTTATGTTCCTTTTTTAACTGTAGGAGTGGGATGGTAGCTACAGAAAGAGTTGAACTAGCATAATATGATGTCTCTCTGTAGCTCTCAGAACATGGCGTTTTGTCATGGTTTGAACATCTGGCCTAATGCTCTATAGGCAAAACTCAAATCCCCCAGACCCATGGCCTGCTCCTTTTCCTCTGGTCCCATATCCACTGTTTGATAGAAGAGAAGCCAAAAAGAGCAAAGAAAAGAGAAGCCAAAAAGAGAAAAAAAAAGAGAAGCCAATTCCTCCAACAGGAATCTAGAGTAGACAACTGGGATGCAGAATGTACATCAGCAGGTGAGTTGAATCCTGTGTGCACTGGAGCTCTTTTCTTGTTCACCAGGAAAAGAAATATGGTTTAAAGCCATAACAACACGTGGAATTAAGCAGCTGATTTCCTTGTTGCTGTGATGCTTCATACAGCTTGCACTAAAACATTATTTTGCTCTTTTTTATTTGCATGCTCTTTCTATACCTGTTTGGGAAAATCACGGTTTACATAGAGGTTCTCAATATTATTTTTCCAAGCAGTTCTGTGTGTTGGACTGACTCTTACCAGTCAGTAGGAAACATGAGACCTCTCCTGGGATCTAAGGCAGCCTTCAGAGCAGCAGCTGTGAACCTTATCTCTCTTTATTGCCCCCTCCTTTCCATCTGTAGGAGATAAACAAGACTTCTGAGATGGAAAAGTATAATTATAAAAATAGTAAAACCGGTATGATTCTGATTTCAGTAAAGCACAGCAGTGCACTCAAGGTGCCAAGAGTAAACTAGATAGGCATCACTGTACAAAGCATAGTGGTTTTCCTTGCAAGAAGTAAAACTTTTTAAAATTTTCACACACTCTCAGATACAGCCAGACAATGTTTTTAGTACAATGTTTTAGGGACTTGTGAAACACATAAGATGTGTGATGTTAATTAATATACCACAGAGAGTTCTCTATGCATGCTCTGTTTACAGCCAGTCCTGCAGGAGCATTTTAGAACAAACAAAGTGTAGTAAAATGACTTTAATGGGGCACCCAGCAGAGTCTATGTCTCATGTTGAGAAAAAGCCTGCTGTGAGGCTGGATGCCTAAGTCAGATATTTACTTTAAAGATCTAAGAAAAGAAACAAAGGGGAATATCAAAACATGACAGAACCAGAAGCATGACAGTGCAACAGCACAGTAAAAGAGAAGGTCTTTCCTTCTTTGTATTTGAGAAAAAAAAAAATGCCAGTTGTTGGACTGAAGCTAAATATTTAAATATTTAAACGTTGAACCCAAATGCAAAGAAGTCCAGTTCACAGTACTGAGATATAAGCAATGCTCCTGAGCAGACCCTAAGCCTCAGCTCCTTTTCACTTCATAAGGGAGATCAAATGTCTAGCTGTATTACAAAGCTTTTATCTGTCATTACTTGTAAAACCAGGGAGGATAGTTCACTGAAGAAGACAAGGGGAGGGAGAAGAGAATTCTTCAGAGGTGAATGCTTTTCAGCATTGACTACAGAATAATTTTAGGAGGCTGGCTAGTTTATTCAAGTGCCTGAAGTTTGTTGGGGTGTGTAAACAACTACAGTTCCATGCTTCTGTTCCTCCCACCAATGTTCTCATATGAGTGATTTGTATTGATTTTCCCCGATACTGGGTGAGTTTTGGATTCACTTATTTATGACTGTTTATGCTGGAAATGTCAAAGGCAGGTTACCTTCAACACAAGTTATTTTTCAGGAGTTGAGTGTGCTGTGACTCACCTTGGGGTGAGCTGGAACAGAGAGAGGGCTCTTCATCACTGTGTTGGCATGCAGTGGTGTGCTCTGAGATTACTGTGATGTAATGATGAGATTACCAAGTGAGACAAGCAAAGGATTGACCTGCTTCTGGACTTTTGTTGAGCTAAATTATAGTTTGGGGTTTCAGGAAAGTGTTGGTGCTTAACTTCTGCCTTCAATGATCAAATCTTTTGCTAGGTGCAGATCACTGTCCCTCAAAGGCAACAGTTTTAATTGTATGCATCTAATGGCAAAATCATAGATCTGAAAAAAGTTTCTCAAATCCATTTCTGTATCTAGATTTGAGAAATTAGATTTATTTTTTTTTTTTTTTTTAGAAATAATGTATTATCACAGTGGTTTTGTGAAATGAAGAATTTTTGTTTGGCAGTTGATGAAATTCTGCTCTCAGAAACAGTCACCTGCCTTATTCCATCCTTACAGTCATGCCTGAAGCTCCACGCTGCTGGCAGTGCCCTCTCCTTTCAGCCTCCACAGGTGATGTTCAAAACCTTGTAGCACGTCTGC